TTTTGGTACTGGGGATTGAACTTGGGTCCTTGGCTTGCAAGGCAGGCCACTGAACTGCTGAGCTAAATCCCCAGCCCCAGATTGGTTTTGATGTAACTGTGTGACTATGGAGGAAAAAGGGGACTAAAGGAGCCTCCATGTGCTCTATCCAGACTTCCCTGAATATTTCCTAGGTCTATTATTGGGCCCTAGTGAGTCCCACCTCTTACCTTGTGACACTTTTCACATTCCTGTTGGATCTGATACTCTTCCTGTTTCAGCATTTCCATTATTTCCTTTTCCTTGAGGCTACAGTCATATTCCTCCTGTAGCTGGATCTCCTCTTGCCTATTCTGGAGTAAAGCAACAGTTGAATCCAGTCAGCACATGAAAGCCTTATAAACAGTCCCTCTCACACTGGGTACAGAACTGGGACCCTTAAGCTATTGAACTTCCTCCTGTAACTAGCTTTAGCCTAATGGGAGATCCACAACCTATCTAATTTGGCCCCCTTTTTATCCCTCAGATGGTCCACACTTGAGATACTCAGGCCTCAATAATTCCTGCAAAGTGGATGAATCAGAAAACTCCAAAAGACAGCTCCAGGGTCCTGCCTTGGATTTCAAATTATTGCAAGAAAGCTGAGCCCTTGCCAAATAGACCCAACACACAAGCACACCTTTTCTTTTGCTGTAGCAATTTTTTTGTAATGATAAAGCCAGTGAGCCAGGTACTCTATTGGGTCACTGGGCTGAACCTTTGCCACCTCTGCCAATGCCTGGGGCAGGCTATTTCCAAAGCACCTTTTCAAGTAATCAGTTTCCATCTTGGGGACCTAGGAAATAGCAAAACAAGACAGTATTTTACAAATGTAATCTGAATTTTAAAATAGATGCATTATAACCAACTTTGATTTATTTCAGGATAATACAAATGTGTCTGGATTATTAGTTAGCATCCTGTCACTATGACAAGATACCAGAGATAATCACTGATACGTAGGAAACATTTACTTGGCTCATAGTTTCAGAGGTTTCAGTCCATGGTTGCTTGGCCTGTTCCTTTAGCCCATTGTAAAGCAAGACATTATGATGGGGAACATATGGAGGGCAGAGACACTGACCTCATGGTGGCTGGAAAACAGAGAGGAAAGGGTTAGTGTCTAACAATGACTTCAAGGACACACCCACAATGACTTAACTTTCATTCACTAAGCCTCACTTCTTAAAGGTTCAACAAGCTCCCAATATTGTCACAGGTTAGGGACTAAGTGTTTAGCACATGACCTTCAGGAAATATTCAACATCCAAACCATAACATTCTACCCCAGATCCCAAAGGTTCATGTCCATCTCACAATGTAACATGCATTTCATGAATCTTCAAGAGTCCCCAGTGTTAGCACTGCTCAAAAGTCAAAGTTCTAAGTGTTCTCTGAGAATCAGGGCAAACTTTAGCTGTGAACTCCTATAAAAATCAAAAGACCAAGTATTATGTTTAAATCTAAAGCATACTTCAAAAGTCTCATGTGCTTGAAAGGTGATGGGATCATGGGGCACTAAACTCATCAGTGGATTTATCCATTGATGAGTTATAGTTGAATGTGCTATGAGGAGGTGGGGCCTGGTTGGAGGTAGATCACTGGGAAGGATATATTCTGGCCCCTAGCTCCTCTTCTTTCTCCTTCTGCTTCCTGGGTACCAAGGGTTGAGCACCTTTTCCTTTGCCACGCCCCTCTGACATCCTGTTTCTGCCTTGGAGCCTGTAGACCATGGACTGAAAATGTGAACCAAAATAAATTTTTCCTCCATTAAATTGTGGGTTTTGGGTATCATGTTTCAGCAACAGGAAAGTGATTAAGATACTATGTTACATACTTCCAAGATACAATGGTACAGGATAGCCATTCCCATTTTTACAAGGGGGAAATCAGGCCAAGCAAGACTGAAACCCAACAGAGAAATAAATCCTGTAGTTCTATTCCCAGAATCTGGACCACACAATGGCCGATGTAAACTCCAAAGTGCTTGGGCAACTCTACGGCCTTGCTGGTTGAAGTCCCCACGGCCTACATGGCCTCTCTTTTGTGCTGGCTCTACTCATTGCATTCCACATATCTAGCATTTCTAACTTTCTTGGGCCTCTACTGTAGCTTCAGCTTCACTCTCATAGCTTCATGCACTGCCCTATAGGGGCTGCTTATAGGGACTCCAATTCCGCCACACATCTTGGCCTTCTACAAATTCCTTTTAAATCTTAATGAAAGTGTTCATGATCCTACAACTCTTGCAATCTGCCTGTCTGTAAAACTCATATCATCCTGTGGATGATACTACAGTCAGCTATCAGCTCAAGCAGTAGCTAGGTCTACCTGGACCATAGCTGTAGTGGCCTCTGAATGCCTGAATGGATGAACATAAGGAAACAAATACCTGGACAATTCCCTAGGTAGCCTTGTAATAGCAGATCATCAGGGTTTGAGCCTGATATAGAGGGGGCAGTCTTGCTAAGTCCTGAGATACCCTCAAAGCATCTTTCTTATTCTCCCTGTGCAAAGTACTTGGCTTTTCTTATAAGTGGCATTAAACTCTGTAGTGACTATCCTCTCCTTGGCCACAACTTTACTTAGGCTCATTTTACGGTAAAACTTCAAGTTTTTAAGTATTTCTGCTTTGCTTTTTGCTCCTGATTCTTAGTATAACTCTTACTAAAATCAGCCAGTAGGATACAGGTCACTGCCTCAGTTCTCTGCTGCTTGGAAGTTATCTCTGCCAGATAAACTAGTTCATCATCTTTGTGACTAATACAAAATCTCAGGGAATAGACAAAATGTAGACCAATTCTTTCCAGAATGTAACATGCCTGGTCTCTAATCCAATTCCCAATAAAGTTTCATTCCCATCCAACATCTCATGAGCCTGGGATTTACTCTTAGCATTCCTATCAGCATTCTGGTCTTCTGAGCCCTTATCAGAATTGTTCATCAATCTGTGCTTCCATCATCCCAAGTTTTTCTAGCCTCCTCCAAATGTTTATAAATTCCTCCTGCAAACCAGTTCAAAAGGCTTCTGAGCCATATCAAGGATAATCACAACAATGACCCTACTTCTTGGTATCAATTTTCTTTCTTAGTCAGCTTTCTATCACTGTGACAAATCAACTTAAAAGAGGAAAGATTTGTTTTTGGTTCATGGCTTCAGAGATTTCAGTCCATGGTTGGTGCCATTGCTTTGGACCTGTGATGAAGCCTTCAGCATGGTGGCAAATGTTGTGGAGTGAAGTTGCTCATGGTAGCTAAGAAGCTAAGAGAGAAATAGGAAGGAGCCAGGGTCCCACAGTCTCCTTCAAGAACACATCCCCAATGATTTAACGTAGTTCCACTAGAAATCACCTCTTAAAGGTCTCACTATCTCCTAATACTACCACAGGCTGGTGACCAAGCCTTTTCCCACATGGCCTTTGTGGAACATTTGAGCTCCAAACCACAGTACTGCCCTTGTCAACAGAACCAATGAATGAATACATACTTGCCAATAATGCCTATATTCAAATGAACTTTTTTCCAAGCTCTCCAGGTAGATTAGGTCAGACAATAGATCTCGGGTCATCAGGTGTGAGAGGAGTTTGATACATGGTGGTTAGGGGTGGCTAAGGCTTTTACCTTACCCACACATTTCTATCCTTGAGTAGGCAGAAAATGACTGAGCAGGTGTGGCCCGAAACATCCAGCAAGCTGTGCTATTGTGAGGTTGGAAACCATAGTCTATGACATAAATAAGAGTTTACTAGAGCCCACAGAAATGCTCTGGGGAAAAGAGAGAGGAAAATGTTGGGCCCTGTAGCCACTGTTAACAGAATAGTTCACTCTAGTGCTTAAGCAAGAAGCTACTTAGAAAGTGTTGGTGCCCCCAGATTTACTATTAATCAAATTTCAAGAGAGGGAGGTAATGTAGCCCATATTATGATGTTAAGTTAGGAGTGACAGTAACATAGAGTACCCCAGAACACAGACTCCAAGATCAAACAGACCAAGTTCCAGTCCTGGAAGCTGCCACTTACAGCTGTGTGACCTTCAGCAAGTTGCCCGGTCTCTCTGAGACTTGGTTTAATTACATGGAAAATAACTCATTAGATGAGGAAAAACCTGACTATGTACCTTATAACAATTAGATGATTGGTAGAAATGATAAACAACTGAAAGGCCCTTAGCTTGGCCCACAGTAAAATTTTAATGTTAGCTATTATGGTGAAAGATTTTGCCATGAAATGGCTTACTTAGCATGTGAGCTATTGCTGACCAACTCCAAATTCCTGAAGTTTACATATGTTAAACTCCCAGTGATTTTAGTGACTAACAGGCTTAGATGTAGCCTTAACATTTTCTGGAGGCATTTTTCAGTTTGTTCCCTCCCTGAACCTCTCTTCTTTATTTTTCCATTTAAAGAGTAAAAGACAGTTAGACATGAATAGAAAGAAAAAGCACGTATTTCCTGGCCATCACCACTTCAAGGCCTCAGAAGCCCTGATACAGTAGAAGCACTAAGAACCTACAAAAGTTATTCTACAAAGCCTTCACACCTAAAGCAATCAGAGTTTCTTAAAGAAATGATTGACTCCAGAGCTGGGGCAGGGAAAGTCTAATTCGCCTGGATCATTTTGTTGTGCCAGACAGTAGGAGAATTCCAAAAAATAGAATGGTTAGGTGCATAGGTGCCTACATAGGAGGCTGGTTGAATGTGGGGGCACTTTGGCCATTAAAATAAATAATGAGTGTAAAGAACTGTCAGTCTGAATAACAAAATTTCTCCAGCAATTAAGTTCATTTAAGAGTAGTATCACAATGGAAGAATGCATGGCATAGTAAACTATGTGTGCACTCAAGGAGGCTGAGGCAAGGGGAAAGTATTAAGGGAAACAGGAGGATTACATCAGATACTTTGAAATAACACTCTTTGGCTATCGTGAACAAAATGGGTAGCATTAGACCAAGATTAAATGGGGAGTTGTTGGGCAGATGTCCTCACTGAGGTTTGTCCTGTGAAAGTTGTTTTTTTAGTCATGCTCTTGTCACTAGGACAAAATGCCCAATACCCACAACTTAAAAGAAAAAGAGGTTTATTTTGGCTCATGGTTTCAGTCTGTACGTGATTGGCTACAAGGCAGAAACAGGATGGCAATAGGACATGGTGGAGGCAAAGCTGCTCAACCCATGAATACATACTTGCCAATAGCAGCAAGGAAGCAGAACAAGAAGGGGAGAACAAGGAAGGGAGATATAACCTTCCAGATCACGACTGCACAAACCTACCTCCAACCAGGCCCCATCTCCTAAAAGCACATTTAGCTACTTAACTCATCAATGGATGAATCTGCTGAATAGTATAGCACCCCCAATCCAATCATCTTCCAAACACATGAGACTTTTGAGGGACATTTTAGATCTAAACCATAACACTTGTGGTGGCCTCTGTGTGAAGCTGTGGTTCTGCTGGAATCTTGTGATAGTTCTTGTTACTAGGCATACATGGAGGAGATCTCATCCATCATAATCTCACAGCTTTATTAATGGATGGATTGTTAGGACTTGGCATGAGTGACCCCATTTTGATTATAACTTTCACAGATTATAATTTATAGAACATGATGCATATCCATGAATGCATGTGAGAATAAGTAAATAAAAGGAGGAAAGACAGAGTTCACATCCCTAGTTACTAAGGGAAATACAAAAATTTTAGTGGCAAGATCAGGCAAACACAACCTAAGCCAAGTGATCAAATTAGACATCACCAAAAGATGAACAAAGTGACATCACACACGCCCTGATGGAATCTCCATCTTATGGAATATAACCTTTCTGTCCAAATGTAAAATTGGATCTAAATGAAACATGAAACAAAGCCAAGCTGAGAAAGTCTGCAACTGACTTGTGAAAAAATATATAAGATGAAAGGAAGACTAGGCAGCCTGGTATTACTTGTGTATCTAGATGTTTCCCCACCAAAAGCCTCTGGTGGTCATAGCTGGGGCTTTGGGGAGGTGGCTGGATTTAGAATGTGTGATGCTGGAATTAAGGGTGTGGATAAGGAAGGCCCACCCTGGGTGTTGGTGTGGTAGCCTGGATGGGATAAAAAGGAAAGGTGGGCTGGTTGTTACTGCTGCTACTTATTGCCTTCTGCCTGCTATGCCATGGACTATTTCTCCTCTGCGATGCCCTTTTGCCATGCCATGCTGCCTGGGAGCCAGCCAGCTATGGACTGAACCTCTCTAAACTATGAGCCAAAATAAAACTTTCTTCCTTTATCCTTGGAGGTGGAGTATTCTATCTCAGCAACAAGAATAGTAACTGAGTCAGAGCCACTAAAGTACATTTAAAACACAATCCTAGATTGGATCTGGGTTAGAAAATAATTTTATAGAGAATATTGTTGGTAAAATTGGATATAATTAAATGCAAATTGTGGTTTATGATCAAGATTAACTTTTTTGATTTTGAGTAAGTGAAATCTAAGAGACTGTCCTTGTTCTTGGGATGAATAACAGCTCCCAAAGATGTCCATGTCCTAATACCTGAGACCTATAGATATGTTACCATAAACTGCAAAAGGGACTGTGAAGATGGGATTAAATTAAGGATGCTGAGATGAGATGTGGATTATCTAAGCAGATACACTGAAATCACAAGGGTCTTGATAAGAGGGACACATTAAGGTCAAACAGGGAAGGCAATGTGGAGACGGATCAGAGGGAGAAGAGGTATGTGACTCAAAGCCACCAGCCAAAGGTCACTTCCAGAAGTAGAAAAGGGCAAGTGGTCTTTACAAGGAACTGACCCTGTCTTTGGTTTTAGCCCTATAAGATTCATTTTGGATTTCTGACCTCAAGAACTACAATGTAGTTTACTAGTGTTTAAAGCACTAAATTCAGGGAAGGGGTAGAGGGTGGGGGTTTGGCTAAGCAGTCTCTGCCCATGTGGCCCTGTGGAATACAATGACCTTGATAAATAATCTTTCTGGTTTTTAATTCTCTTAAGTACTGGGGATTGAACCCAAGGCCTTCACACTGAGCTACATCTCTAGACCTTTTATTTTTTTGAGACAAGTTTTCATTAAATTGCAAAACCACCCAGGCTATACTCACACTGGCAATCCTCCTGCCTCAGTCTTGCAGAGTGCTGGGATTACAGTCCTGGGTTGCTCAATCTTCAGTCTTCTATACCCCTTTTACTTCATGACAACTTAACTTGTAGAAAGGGCAGATTCTCAGGTCTCATCCAGATCTAGATTCAGAATCTGCATTTTAGCACAATCCCTAAAGTGATTGGAAGGTACAGACCTGCTTTGCCTTTATTTCCAGAGCCCTCATTCCAGTGGACAGAATGATCAGTTTTGCATCTCCAGGACTTGTCCCTTCACTGATTTATTGGTTAGCTGCCAATGTAGCTTAGGTGTGACCAACCCCATCAACACAAAGCGCCTTCTCTAAATGGCATGTATCCAATCGCGATCCCAAGGAAACATGCAGAAGTGCAGCTGCTAAGATCTACTTCAAATTGTAAAAGCCACAGTGAGGCAGAGACTTGAAAGCCCAGAGAGGTAGGGGTCAAAGTTATGGTGCCTTTTACAGGCTACTCCTCACCACCTCGGGGCGCAAGGGTGAGCGAGGAGGGAAACACACTACTTTTTGGGCTTTCCCAAGCTCCCTGAGGGTCTGCTCACACAGGTCCTCCTTGATCTTGACCTTGTACGCAGCAGGCAGGGCAGGCTGTCTTTCTTTACCCGGTATCCCACGAGACACTCAGCCCATACTTCCTGCTTCCGCGAATTCAGCGTTGCCCACTCTGGGGCTCAGTACTCCACCAGCATTTATTGAAGTTTCTCCTGCTGGGCAATGCTTTATCTGTAAGCCGGAACAACTACAAGAGTAAAATGCACACAAGAGTCCGCTAGGACCCCTCGGAGGAGGGTTGGGGGCGCCAGAGTAGGCTCTGAAAAGTAGGCGGCCGAGGTCAGCAACACACAGCCATCCTTTCAACTCTCCCAGGGTGATCAAGCCTCCCGCCGGGCTCCACTGTTAGTTTCCGCGTCTCCCTCCCAGCTTCTACGCCGCGAGAACCACAGATCACCCGCCGAGCCCCGGCCCAGGAGCGCACCCCCTCCCAAGGCAGGCCCTGAGCTCACCTTTCGCAAGCAGCTTCTTCTACCGAACTCCGCTCCGCCCCCCGCCGCTTCTCGTTGCCTAGCACCAGGACGCAGCTCGCTGGGGGGAGTTGCGCATGCGTCGGGTGCGTGCTCCCTGAAGGACGGATCGCTTTCTCAGCGCTTCGCCAATTGCTTCCTCTGACACTGGCGGTTGTCATGGTTGGACCTTGAGCGTCGTGTAGGTCCTACCGGGGAGGCCGGGGGAGGGTTGGTTCACCCCTGGGATCTCGTTGGGCCGACCCCTCAGTGGCCGGCTCTCCTCCTCCTCTTCTTCAGTGTTCTTCTTCAGGTCGAGGACTCCGGCCTCTCGCACCCTTGGGGGTTAGGGAGCTGGGAAGACTGTTTGGAGGACCCAGATGGGAAACGCCCAGGTCCACGGCAGCCAAACAAAATACAGCATACTACTGGGCGCCGGTAACCCTAGCGACTCAGGAGGCGGAGGCTGGGGGATCGCTAAGTTTGAGGACACCTGGGTTATTTAGCAACTAGGCTTGTAGCTCAGTGCTAGAGCGCCCTTGGGTTTGATCCCTAGTACCTCAAAAACTGCATTCCTAGTAAATTTTCATTTCAGATAAAGGTATTACGTTTTAGTACAAATATAGAAGACAAAGTTATTCATTGTTTCTCTGAAGTGTAAATTTAACTGAATGTGCTGTGGTTTTGTTATATCTGGCGCCCATGCCTGGGCTCTCTTGTGGCAGCGTGATCAGGCCAACTCAGCTGGGACTGGAAGGAGCTTTGCTTGTGGGGAGCCAAGATGACTAAACTGGTGTATATGAAAAACAGCACTAGTCTCTAATCTCAGTACTAGGAGGCTGAGCCAGGAGGATCATAAGTTTGAGCACAGCCTGGGCAATTTAGAGGTAGCAAGACCTTGTCTCAAAATAAAAAAATAAAGGAAGGGCAGGGATGTAGCTCAGTGTGAAGGTCTTGAGTTCAATCTCCAGTACTAAACCACCACTACCATAATAGGAGGAGTGAATACTGTCAACTTTTCATGGAAAGATGTTAATGAGATGGTTGAGTACCCTCACCCAGGTGTCACTGATAATCCAAGACAGACATCAAGTACCCCCAAATTCAAGACAGGCATCAAGTTGCCGGACACTTAGGCTAGAGGTTTTCTTTGGGGGACCACTTCCTTTCCCAAGTTTGTTCTCTGGAGCAGCAGAAGGAACTGCTTCCTTTTTCATGTTACCACAAACGACGATGATATGTCCTTGCAGCATTTTTTGTCTTTTTTTTTTTGAAAATTTTTTTCTTTTTATTGAGTTTATTGGTACAATCTAGGTATACAATACAATTACATTCATCATTGGGATTCTGTACCTTTACATAATAGGTCTTGATTCTCATTTTTCCCCCTTGTCCCTGCCCTCCCTTCACCCCCTCCTCCGCTCTCCATTTACAAACACTTTATTTCCATTTTTTCAGTTTCTCATATATTTTTTTCCTCTCCCTTATTACCTTTCCCCCACCCTTCCCACTTTCCTTACACCTTTAGCCCTTTACTTCCTATTTCACATTATTAATTGTCTCATTAGGATCCTGTGTACTATTATAGTTTTTCACACCAAAGAAACTATTCGATATTTCAGTTAAAGAAATCTCTGTATGAACATTAAAAATAGGGAATCCTAAAATAAAACTAAAAAGGAAAGTAAAAGAGAAAAGGCAATGATGTAACATTAAAATAATCCTTAATTCTGGAGATGAAAATGGTCCCTGAACATATTTAAATTGCTTCTCCCTCTTATGGTCTTATCTTATTCTTTTTTCATTATTTAGAGAATACTTTATTAGTTTCTGTAATCAAACCCATGTAGATATGACCTTACATATTTAGTATGATGCGTTACCCCTGTACACATGGAAAAAAATAAAACATAAAAATAAAAATAAATTAACATTTCTAGACCAGCATGGTTGTCCATTTCTGTACAATGCCAAGTCAACACAGTAAATTGGGATGACTTTTTCCAAAGTTGGCAGCACCGTTACAGTTTCCCAAAATTCAATTTATATATATATATGTATATATATACATATATATATAAAGACTAATAATAGTATGTTATGCATCGATAGCAGCAACAGCTTTTCCAGGTTCTGCAGTCATCTGAACAAAATTATAGACATTTAGCACATTCCATTAAAAAGAAAAACAAAGAAAAGAATAATATCCAGACAATAGCAAAGTTGTGTTGCTGTTGTGTTAACTGGCACCATTTTTTCTATTAGCCTCTTAATCATCACCTGGAAAGAGAACATTCTAGAGTAATATCATTAAATGTAGCTCTGATAAAGCATGGTCCCTACTATGTATCATAAAGCAGGTACTAGATATTTTACATTCATAGAGGTATGATACAGTACCATCCTACATCAATAATACTAGATTCAGTTTTGGTTTGAAGTTTTACTTTGTCTGCAAATAAAATTGCTACCCCTGTTTTTTCTGGGCTCCTGTCACATGGATAATTGTTTTCTATCTTTTCACTTTCAGGCTATGGGCTTCTTTTTGCACTAGGTGTATTTCTTGTATACAACATATTGTTGGATTTTGCTTCTTATTCCATTTTGCCAGTCTATTTCTCTTGATTGGTGAGTTGAGGCCATTGACATTGCTGGTTATAACTGATATGTACTGACTTATTATTGACATGTTATTGGCCTTTTGTTGACTCTTTTTACTTTTTCACCTTCTCCTTTTAATTTCTTGCCTTGCCTATTTGATTTGCTCTGTTGGGCCTCATGGTGTTGTTGCCTTCATTGTCTTTTTCTAGGATCTTGTTTAGAATTGCTTGTAGTGCTGGTTTGGTATTCATGTAGTTTCTCAGGTGTTCTTTGTCGTGGAAGTGTCTTATTTCCCCATCCATTTTGAAAGAGAGTTTTGCTGGATACATCAGTCTAGGTTGGAGGTTGTTCTCTTTTAGTACTTGAAATATCTCATTCCAGGCTCTCCTTGCCCCAAGGGTTTGTGTTGAAAAGTCTGCTGTGATTCTGATGGGCTTTCCTTTGTATGTGATTTGTTTCTTTTCTCTTACTGCTTGTAGTATTTTGTTCTTCTGTTGGGTTTCTGGGATCTTGATTATTATATGTCTAGGTGTAGATTTTTTTTGATTGTAGCTAGTTGGGGTCCTATATGCCTCAGTTATCTGAATGTCAAATTCTTCCCCTCTGTTTGGGAAGTTTTCTGTCATTAATTCTGCGAACAGCTTTTTAAAGTCATTTGTATTTTCTCCTGCTACTTCATGTATTCCTATCAGTCTTATGTTATTCTTCTTTGCATCATCTAGGAGTTGTTGGATCGATTTCTCATGATCTCTTACTGTTTTTAAGAGACCTCTCTTTTCATGGTCACTGACTGCAATCTTATCTTCTATATCTGAGAGCCTATCTTCGCATTCTTTTATTCTGTTGCGTACACTTTCAATAGAGTGTTTAATCTCCTGGATATCTGTTTGAATCTGTTTTATGGATTCCATTTCTTTCCTATGTTGGGCGTTTATTTTTTCCATTTCTTTCTTATGCTGGGCCTTCATGGCTTCTATCATGGTCCTGAGCTCATCTATTTTTTTGTCAGTTTCTGCTCTAGAGTCTTGAATCATGACTTCCATTTTGCTCACTATCTCTATGGTTATCTGGGAAATTATTTCTGCTTTGAATTTTTCCAGAGCCTGATTGATCTGTTTTGTTACTTCCTGTGCTTTGAGTTCAGGGTGTCCTGGTGGTTCACTATCGGCCTTTTCATCCTCATTTGCCCTACTGTTTGCTATTGGTAAACTGGAAGTCTGTCCTTGTGTCTTGCTTAAGTGTTTTCTCATTTTAATTTTTGTTGTCAGACTGTCCTTGGTTTACTCTCTGGATTATCACCCAAATCTTCCTGATATAGTTGCACCCTACCTTCTGTGTCTCTAACGCCCCACAGACATTCTCATCTTCATAACATCAGAGAAAACAGCTCATCAAATCAACGGCAATGCTTTACCCCAATTGATAAAATCAGCAACACATTAAGATCAAGCACAACTTGGACACTGACCACCTGTGGTAGTCACTAGTCTATCACCCTTAAATCATTTGAATTAAATTGAAATCAAGAGGCAGTCCAGAACATGTCTGCAGTGAACAAAATTTTCAATATGGTATATTTACCATTTAATGGCTCAGACAGAGCGAGGATGCAAGACCCCTGATCTCAGTTAGCTGATGGCTGAACCCCCTGATGCTGACTAACCTTGGGCTGCAAGGCCCAGATTGAGTTCCCTATCCTTCTGAATGGTTGAACTCCGAAATGTTCTATTACATGTTTCCCACGCCCTTTCTTTAAAGATGTTCAAAGTTGGGAACTCAGAAAAATACCCTTGATGACCGCTTCTGTCTTTGCAGAGTGGGTCCAAAGACTGGCACAGTCAGGAGGTCTGAGAGTGCTGGCGGGGGCTTATGGGGGTTCAGGGGCCCACGCGCGCCTACCTTCCCAGTGCTTGAGCGATGGCTGCTGGGTCTGGAGCAGGTGTCGTTCTCCTTCCTGCAGTGGATCGGGGCCCAGGCTGCCTCCCGGCGCTTGAGTGATGGCGCTCAGCATTTTTTGTCTTTAAAAGATGCTCCAAGGAAAAGTCTTCCAAAGCCAGGAGCAAGAATGCTTTTCTTTGTTTGGTTAAGGTGCCAATGCCAACTTGACAGGAAGTTAGATCATTTGTGCCATTGTCCTCAGCTGTTGGAGTCATTAGGGTACCTTTATGTGCCCACACATACACTTTCCTTTCCCGGCTGCTGGCATGGATACAGAGGTGGTATAGATGAGTTCTGCACTGTCCTTTCCTACCTGCACTCTGTGTCCTAGGGGCCACTTTCATTGGAGAGTCCACATTCTCTTTATGTCTGCACACAAGTCTGTGTGGTGTGCCTCACTAATCTTCTCTTCATGAACCTCCAGCTGCTGCTGCAGTTTGACTGTGGTAAATAACAGTGCAAATTACCATACACATATGTCATTTCATATGGTTCTAAGTGTATTTTTGAGAGAAGGGTTAAGAAGTCAGATTGGTGAATCAAAGGGCAAATAGGTATGGGATTTTCTTGATTTTGCCAAATTCCCTTCCAAAGAGGTTGTACCAGGTTATTGTCCCATCACCATCACATGGTGAAGAGCAGCATGGGGGCCCAACATGTTGGTTTTTCTGAAATCTTAAGCAAAATTCTGGGTGCATTTTGTTCTGGGACTCATCCAGACCCTGACATTCGGTTCCCTGTAGCTGCCGAAACTCTTCCTTCTTTTTGCCTTGCGAATTTTGTTCCTTCACTCTGAGGACAAGAATTCCCTGACTTGGTTAGATTCTGCAGTTGTCTGCTCTTATAGCACTTATTTCTATTTTAATTTTACATTATTGATTTGAATATGTGATTAATATGCCTTCCTTTTTCACTGGAAGCTCCATGCAGGCAGAGACTGCCTTTATTTGAGTTCAGGGTGGTATAACAAGTAACTAAAGACTGTGTGGCCTTAACATGGATTTATTTCCCACAGTTTTGGGGCTGGGAAGGCTGAGATATTAGCATGTGTGGTATCTGTTAAGAGATTACTTCCTAGTTTTCACATATCCCATGTGGAGGAAAGCAGGAGGAACCTCTTTGTCTCTTTATATAAGGGCACTAATCCCATTTGTGAAGACTCCACCCTCATGACCTACTTAGCCCCCAAAGACCCTGAGCCTAATGCCATCACAGTGGGGGGTTAAGATTTTAAAATATGAATGGGGGTGCACAAACATGCAGTCAGTAAGAGTTTTATGTTCCCAGTAACCTATCTGTTGTGGTACCTGACATAGGTACCCAGTTTATATTTGTTACAAATTGAAACATTGCATCAGAAACTCAGAAGAGTCTGGATTTCATGAAATGTTAAGGATAACTTGAAGGTGATCAGCTTTTTTTATTTTTCAAAGAATATGAGATAAAGTTGTTACATTTTTTTCAAAAAATCTGGTCTAAGATTATTGCTGTTTATAACTGCAAAAGACAAGGACATTAACTGGGAAAGTGTAGAAACTCACTCGATGCCACTATGGATAGACAGCTGTGTTGACCCTGTGATTAAAACACTCAGCAAGGAAATAGGGGCGCTGGTATCCTGGAGGGAGAACAAGCATGGGCATACACACACAGACAGACAGACAGACACTCACACACACACACACACACACACACAATTCTCAATTAGGGAGACATGGACTCAGAAAAGGAGAAATGGTCTGTGTATTGCAGGTAAGGAATATTTTCCAATTTGAGAGAGAGGGCAGAGTCATCATGATCTGTGAGAAAAGCAGAGTTGGCCAAGTGCAAGGTATAATCAGCAGAATGATGGGATGTGCTGTGGGATGGGAGTGACAGGGTGTGCTGGGGACAGGAAAGAAGGCTGCAGGTGAATCTGAAAAGGAACTGGGGCCAGACACTGAGCAGCCTCATAGATTGTTCTGTAGCAGCTGAATTTTTATTCTCTGACCTTGGAAATGTATGGATTTTTAAACAGAGGCAGACTATAGAGCTGGTTTGTAAATATGATTTATATAGCTTAGGAGGAACAGCTTAGTAGAATCCTTAGGACAGGGATCCAAAATCAAGGGCTACATCCAAACCCTATCTGCTTCATCTGCCAGCTGTATGTTCTGCTCTGTTCACTCAGGCTCTTTGTGCCTGAATCTTCTCATCGACACAGTAGGGACCATGGTACCTGGTTCATCAGGTGTGTTGTGAACATTAAATGACATAAGCACTGCTTGGCACTAAGTCATCTTGCAGTCCATAATGACAGTGTCCCTTTCTCTCTTGAACTGGACCTATGAGTCCTTCTGGATTTTGAAACTGTTTTAGTTGTAATCACTTCCAAGAAGCCCTTTTGGAAACTGAAGTTTCCTGGGCCAACTTGCTTGTGCCATGACTGGTAGTGCTTTGTTGGTCTCAATGGACTTTACTTAGGTCTTACTTAAAAACTTCCTGAACTAATGCAAAATGGTTATTTTTATATTTTATTTAGAAGTTAGAAATGGAGTCTGCCTATCTTCAAAAGCACCTTGGGACATGTCTAATTCAGGGTCTTGCAGAAGTGGCAAGAGTTCACCCTGTGGATCCAATAGAATATTTAGCTTTGTGGATTTACAATTATAAGGAGAATGCTACTATGGAACAGCTGGTAAGTATGATTTCCTTTTAGGAAATCAGAAGAAAATATTAGTTTAACATATTTGCCTTGTTTTTAAAAGTTCTATATCTTTTATTTCTATTATAAAAATGTTTGTTTTACAAAAACTTAAATAACATAAAAAGTAAAAATGTGGAAAAAAGTCAGAGAAGACTTCTATTGTCCTATTTAGGAATTTTCTTCTATGTGTAGTCTTTTTCCTACACATTTATAGTATTCCTTTTCATATGCTTGTTAGTCATACTGAAAGTATACTTTTGATTTTGTGCTCTGTCTTCAGATAAAATATGTTATTTCCCTAAATGATTGTGTAATATCCAAATGGATAGACTAATGTGAATGAATTGTAGTCCATAATTTGCTTTTCCTATTGTTAGAGATTAAGATATTTTTCAGGTTGTGTTCACGTATGGTTTGGTCTCTGATGGGCCATGTGCTATTATTTTTAAACAATGCTAGAGGCAGAAGGAAATGGCCCAGTTGGAGCATGAAAGAGCATTAGCACTGGTGGAGCAGGAATTGCAGGAGAAGCTCAGAGCTGAAGAGCTCTTGTTTCAGCAGGTGAGGCATGGAAGGGAGGGCTTAGGGGACCCAGGAATTAGTGGTACCAGCCTCAGTGCATGCAGCCCAAAGGCTGAAAACTCCCCAGCTCTGAAAACTTAAATAGGGCTTTGTCCTCTCCTCATCTTTATGTACACAGGCAGCTTCTTTGCTGCAGAAGCATCTGGGATGGGGTAAGAGGGGTAAGTGTCCTGTGACAGAAGCCCAGGGGAGAGGGTGTTCAGTGGGGTCGAGTGTTCAACCTTATCTGCTGCTGAACTCAGAAGAGCTCATTCAAGGCCACTGGTCATCTTGGCAGGAGCAGTGGTCGGGGTGTTGGTGGGGGTAAAGCAGGAGAGATGGTGAATGAGCAGAAAGAAGACTTTGAGGAGGAAAAGGAGATGTTGTTTCTGTTTCTTAGAAGAGGTAGACTATTGGGATGTTCTGTAAAATATGGCTTTCATGGCTTAGGAGGAGCATTTTAATAGTCAATAGGGTGAGGCTCTGAAATCAACAAAAGGGTCCCGACCTTATCTCCTTTGGGTTGGGTTGAGAAACACAAATAAGGGGCAGTGGGTGACATTGGGAAATAGAGAAGATAATTCATAAAATCAAATTTTCACAGACACAGAGTAAATGAAGTCTAGGCATAGGTTAGGCAGGTGGGAGGTGGCAGGGCCTTTGTTTGGTTGCAACTGAGGAATGGAGGAGAGGATTTGAATGTGTAGGTTTCATGGCACAAACTTGTTGCTAGCTTCCTTAGGAATCAGGAATCCTGAAGTCTGCAAGTATGGGTGTGAGGTAAGCGGTGAAGATTTGCAGTGGTGGTTTTGGGTAGTGGAAGGGAAAGTTGACCAAAACATTTTAGGTTGAACATCTATAACTCAAGAAAAACCCTAAATCCAAAATTCTCCACAGTCTGAAATGTTTTAGGTGTTAGCATGAAACAAGTAGAAAATTCTTTATCATTAAACTTTGTTTCATACACAAAATTATTAAAATATTATATAAATTGCCTTCAGGCTAAGTAAAGAATATGTGAAACACACTAGACTTTACTCTTTTTTTTTTTCAAACTGGGGATTAAATTCTGGACCTTGCACTTACAAGAACCACTGAGCTAAATCTCTAACTCTAGACTTAATTCTTATTGTGCAAAATTTCACATTTACACTTGGGTTCCATCCCCAGGACACCTTATCATGTACATGCAAATACCTCCTTTCCTCCCAAATCCCATATCTGAAATTCTTCTGGTCCCAAGCATTTTGGATAAAGGATGCTCAACTTTTACTTGGTAGCAACTGGAGATCAAGCACTCAGTGTCTGGTTTGGTTGTGTGTGTGTGTGTGTGTGTGTGTGTGTGT